ATTATACACTGACACTCACTGTACTGATGAATAGACACAGTGATACTCACATTGGAAGACGTTCCAAAAACAGACAGGTTGAATGCAGGCTTTTTCAGACTGGACTGGGAAGGCTGAGGCCCAGAGTTTGTTCTGTCCATCTCTGGGGACCAAAGCTGGGGAAGTGATGCCGTTTTTGAAGTGGGGACATCTGAAAAACAAAAGGAGATTAATCTCAGACCAGTGTGAATTAAATCAGAATTCTAGCTTAATCTCCATGCGTTGGAGAAATTAAGTCACAAACATTAACTAAACACGAGCCTCTACCTACTGCAACACCAATAATTGGTGACATTTATCAATTCTTACTTAAAGCAAATCTCAGTAATTTCTTCTGGTTCTGTGGTTGAATTCACTTTCTTTATGCTGCTATTCTCAGCGAGTGCAAAGAAATCCTGTTCAAACCAGTTCATCACACAAGACGTGTTTTCTGCCATTTTCACAGAAAGGCATCCAACTGTGTCCCAAAGAGACTCAACAGACTGTAGGTTTTCATTCCAATCAATCACCTCAGCAGGTGATTTCACATCTATTTGAGGGTGTGCTTTCATGGAAACTTTGCTGTTACCTTTGTCAGAGGCGCGGGAAGAAAACCCACTTGTGGTGGAGATGTTATCGTCTTCGTGCTGTGAGAGGTTGTCCTTGATTTCTTTCACCAAGGAGAAGCCTGTTGAAAAGGGTCCAGGGGCTGAGGAGGTGGAGGGCTGGGAGAAGAGGTTGCTGGAAACCCCCAATGTTGGAGAAGAGGCATCCAGTGGGGCAAAGTGAAGGTGGGAGCGACTCAGAGGGGGCCGAGAAAGCACATACTCCTGAAAATTCAGGGATGCCCGACTGGTTGAGGGCTCTGTGCATGAAAGGAAAATTACAGTTGAGCATGCTGGTACTGAGAATAATGGAAAAAAGCAATTGTTATGCAAGAGCTTTAATATTCCAGATAATCTGGGATGACCCAAGAGACTGAATAATCCCTCACCTGTGTTACTAGTGCTAGGTTCTGGGGAGTCACGTCCCTCAAGGGGAGGAGGTCCCTCTTCACTGCCATTGGGAGGAGGAGGCGGTGGCGGCTGGCAGTTCTGATCTGTCACTCGTACAGCGCCCTCTCCTTCAGTAGCATCTTCATTCTTGAAGTATTTCTGCAGCCAAGATGGAACGATGCTCTTTACTGTGTCCGTCACCCGACTGATGATGCCTGACTGCTGCTGATGAAACACATGGAAAAGGGAGATGAGGCAATGAGCAAGGGAATGAAATTAGTAAGAGACAGAGATGAAGATAGATAGACCAAACAAAGAACTTGCAGATATTTGTTCTTCAACCCCACCCACCCAAACAAGTTATTGATGATCAGCACATAAAATGTAAAACAAACCCATTTCAGTAAAAATGTTAATACTTGGACAGCTGATTATCAGGTGGATTTACATTTTAAATACCAACAACAATCTGAACAAATATTATTTTAAATACTGATTTTCAACTTTTATGTCAGAGGGATATTATCACTTTCAAAATGTCATTAGTATATACAAATGTCTAGACGTATTTCTGAAATTCAATGTGTACATTTACAGATTGGTGGGTGCGCTGCACAGATCAGGTTAACTGCGTGTTTATTTGCTTATGGAGCGGGGAAATGAGATTTGATCACAAGTGGACACTGGAGACACAATTTAATGCCAGATGTGAAATGATGAATTCAGAGCTGTCTACTCAGATCACCTGAGACAGATTTTAATACCGGGCCTGAACGGGGGCCTCAATTTTGTCTGTTGCCAACAGAAGGAAAACTAATCCTGAAGCTTGTATTTATGATGTTCAAAAACAATAATGAGAACTGAAAACATCTGAATCATATAAAACAGTTGCTGGGATATTGTTATTTGCTGAACACAGCAAACAACAAGTGTTTCCCACAGAATCAGATTCAATGTGTGATGGCAGCTGGGTGTGTAAGTGTGAGAGAGAGTGCGAGTGAGAAAGTGAGAGGGCCAAGGCGGGGCTGAGAAAATCTATGCCCTCTACAATTAAGACAAAACACTATGATATGGATCTTTTATGTTTTTATGAAAAGTGCAAAATAAAATGGGGTTCATTATAAAACTGGACAAATTAGTCCATGGCAGGCGCCAGAGTCTAGGTAATTAAAGGGCAACAGTAAATTAACACTCAATTTGATTATTTGAATCAGCTGCACAGCACCATTTGCAGCGAGAAGTCATTTGTTCCAGTGCAAATCCAAATACAAGCTCAGTAGGACAGAAACTGGGTCAGGCACTGTTTGCTTCTACGACGCAGTGACCGAGTGACGCTGCTCTGTACTGAGGTCTAATACTGGACAAATCCTAGGCGATAACAAAGAGTCTTGACTCCTACACCCCACTAACACAAAGTAACTGCCTTTCCAGCTCTCTACGGTAGAATGCAACTATCTTGGTCTGAACCATTTAACTGGACTAAGAAGACCACTCCTGAACGGGTCTGCAGCTTTAAAAGTCATGAAAAGGCTGTAGTGGCTTGTGCAGTGTGCCAAACTAGCTCCTGTAGTTGAATATATGAGGATTTAATGCTGGTATATTATCCACTAGTACACAGTCTGTTCCACGAATGATGTCCACACAGGTTGGAGGAGATTTGGAGTTGCAGTAGAGGAGCACAAACCCAGAAACTAAACGTATGACGTGAATAAAATGACCAGATAAAGTTAAGGGTGTACCGAAGAGCAAGGCTGTGGAAAAGTCATCAGATAAGGCAATGCAGTCCCACATCTTTGTGAGAAGATACCACATGGAGAAGGGAAACGTAGAGCAAAGCTAGCAAGCTGGTGCATTTCTCAATGTACGTGTACATGCTGTTTAACCTCTAGTTGCTTTCAACTCCACATAAGAACCATTTGGGCCTCTTGCTTCCGTTTTATCTTTGAAAGACACCTGTGGGCCACCCTGCACTTTAACCTCTGCAACACACAAAACATTGACTAGTGAAGAATGTAATAACACAACAGTGGTGGATTACTTAGCCCCACATACAGTATTGTTATAAGGATTTAAGGGTGCCTCATGTCTGTTGTCGGCAGGGTCATGTGACCAAAGTGACTGGTGGTTGATGGATTCTGCTTTGTTGTGTCTCACTTTGAATATCCCGACCTGAGCAGATTTGTGAGTCCAGCTTTTAAAGCTAAGAGATCACATGAATGAATGAGATGAACATGTACTTTTACTCTTAATAAGATGATTTTGAGAATTTGGTTGTTTCATTTATGCCATGTGAAGACGAGAAAGACTTCCACTGTTGAGAATAAGTGATCACAAATGTTGAGTGATGAATGAAGACTGTGATGGTGCAAACACTGCATGTCTTATCATGCTCCTTCTGCTTTATAAGCAGCAGAGTTAAATAAACCCCTCAAATGTAGAAAAGCTCAATCTTTCAAGGACAATTGAGCATGAGAACGGGATAATCATTGTTTATGGCTCATACAGTCCAGACATTTGTATGAACTTCAAACTTCTTGTGTTTCTTTACTGTAGACTTACAAAAAAGTAAGTGAAGCCTTGGATTTAATAACTGGGTGAACCTACTCTAGCAGTAGTATCTTCAAACAAACTCTTCGAGTAGCTGTAGCTCAGACCTGCACAATGTTCAGGAGGAATTTAAGAGCACTGGTCACACAGAACTGCTTCAGGTCAGCCATATTCTTCATATTAACGAAATCCTCTCTTGAGGTCATTCCAGGACATCTTGTATCACTCCAATACAAGGTATTGCATAGTGCTGAGACACTCTTTGGAAAACTTCAGGCATGTTTGTGATGTTTTTTAGAGAAAAGTGGCATCCCCCGTTAAGTCCTGCCAAATTTTGTCTGCTGGATTCTAGGTGTACCTAATAATTTGTCTATTAAATGCATCTCACTGATCATATTAATTTAGTGTGACTTTCAATCTCCACACTGTAGCCAAGGAGAAGCGATGGCACCATTTTTAAGAGTAGATGGTTTCCCTCCACAACCTGCGGACACCGGCAGGCTGACTTTCAATCTGATTTGCAGTCCACTAATTAAACGTGATGAATGAAAAAAGAAGTTAATGGATCTCTCTAGTGTTGCGACACAACATTATGCAGAGGATCTGCAAAAATCAATATTAGCATCATGGATCTGCTTCAACCATGTGGGTTTCCAACCAGCCGATGCTTCCTGCGCAATCCTCCTGGCTGGGATTTAGCTAATGGGAGCTAGCCTAACAACGTTTCCCCCGCACACCAACGCCACACTCTTACAATCCACCCACACAGGAGCCGCTGACATGTAATTGAGGACAATCACAACCTGGAGCCAAACGACCGTGTCACTCCAACTGGCGACGGTGCGAAGCTTCTGATCGCAAGAACACAAGACAACAATGCGTTTGCTCGCCAGTGCTAAGCACGCTAGCTTACATTTCCTACAGCGGCTAATACGCAGAATCCCACTTCCTTGCTTTGTGCTAACTTCGCTAGCACCAAAGAACTCGCCTGATGGCGCTACGAAAGCGTTCCCCCGTGTGTCATGTGTGCGCCTGCACTCCAACAAACGCCGGTTCACTGGTCTAAATGGCTCAGTGCGCCGTGATTTGACCTGTCAAGTCCGCCTGGTTAATGCTAACCCGTGAGCCAGACTGCTAGCTAACTAGCATTTCCCGGACATGCTATCAGCGCGTGGAGGCCACGAGCGCTAACAGTAGGCCCTAAAATGACTCCAAGCAAACAATAACAAGAAGCCGGGGCAAAGTGGAGCTGCGGTCACCGTACCGTCCTCGACACGGACTGTTTACACGAAAACTTCCACTCGGTTTACCTGTTTGCTCTTGGCGTAAGGTTTGGAGGCGATGTGATATCTCCTGCTTCTAATTTTCCCTCCACCCGTGGCCGCCATGGCTCTGTCGTTTGAGCGTCTCTCGGTGTTTCGGCGCCGGATAGCTGTCATCCAGCACCGCGCCGAGGCACCCTGGGTAATGTAGTAGCAGAAGGTAACAAAGAGCTTTGACGGGACTCTGAACCACATGGCCTCACCATTGGGTTATTTTGGGTCACTCGATTCAAAATGAGTACAGAACCATGATTTGAATCATCTTATTGTGTTTTTGATCAATGGACAGTATAATGTAATCTTTCAGTAGAGAAGACACGATGGTATATTTCATTCTTTGCATCTTTTTACTTCTAATCCACCAGATTTGAAATGCACGTTTTTCATTACATGGATTTGATCCCATTTCATTTATTT